TGATCGCGAAAATATCAGGGTTCATATTTTTCATACGATGCCCTAGGGCAAAATATCACTTTGTCATGGTGATGTGACGTCATGAACAATGTTATGACGTCACGTTTCTTCTGAGACATTGCGTTCTACATGCAGTGACGGGGGTTAGCCAGCCTATGTTTGAAAGTAGGTTTGGGTTATAATTTTCCTCAATTTGAAGACTTCGGTAATAAACAGAATATTATATTTGTGCCCATATCATACTATGTTTATGACACTCATGCCTAGATATCGGTATATCCCTCACTCTCGCTCAGGAAATACCAACATTTAGGCACTCATGTCGCAAACATGGTATGACATGGGCACTCATATAATATCCTCTATATGTCCATGTGTGACTGTAGTAGTCCTATTTCCCAAATGAACTTGTGTGTAAATACATATGTATTGTATTACACATATCTTTTTTGAATTGTAGATATATAGCTGATACATATATGAAAACAAATATTCCTCATAATTACATCAGATAAAATGACATAAAGGGACAAGTTGTTATCCCACAAATAGTAAGTTTTTGTAATGCAGATATATTGCTGATCTAATTGAAATTTTTTTACCTGACAATTACTTTCAGGAATATTTTCAATGTATAGATGAATTAATGAATTTAATGTTACAGAGAATGTTCTAAGACAAAGTGGTAGAAATGAAGTCTGGTCATGACTTCACCAATTTGTTACAATAACAAATCTAATGTTATCTAATAACATTGGCATGTCATACAGTAAAATATACCAAACCAAAGAATCTTATTTCAGGTTGTCTGGTTCAGACTCAATCATATACAGACTGCCGTCATATACTGTAATATTGCTAAGTGTGGCGTTAAACAACAAAAAACAAACAAAATTATTCCACCTTCAGCTGACCATACAAAGCACCATACAAGAGCAGTTTTACAACAAACAGCACTTACAGGAATGAAAGTTTGTGATACATACATTGGTTCAAGGTGGTTGCAAGGGAGCACCTGATGGTTGAAATGGACGTGAGAGGAACAATGTGTGAGATCGTGACATGTAGGCAGGGACCATTCATTACATGACATGAACCGGACACACACATTAGGGAACAGCTGAGATTGAAATGTGGGCCTGCTAGCAGGGATTGACAGGGACCATCTCAAAATCTATGAAAGCTTTCTTAGGTCTATTTATAAGTTTTTCTATTCATCCAGGCGAGGACGGGCTTAGTCATCTATAATGTCACGCAGGGTTGAAAGTAGTCTGTCTCACAGTCCCTGAACCACATTATTTTCCCTACTGCCAAGCCCTCTCTGCAGTGATAAAGCCCTAAATAAAGCAAGTCTAGATTTCCTCAGGTTCTGAATCTCTGGTCTCCCTAGGGCTCCTTTTCAATATAAATGGGCTTGTTTGTTACTATCAAAATTATATATATTCAGAGACTAAGCCTTAGTCTAGGTTGAGAGCCTTGGGAGTGACAGGATCCTTTGGTTGTTGGTAAGGCTCCCCGATTCTTCACCATTATTAATGTTGTGACCATGATAATCCAATCAAGCACTAAAAGCTTGTGCCAACCCATACGACACAGATTAACAGGGACAAAATTGTATAGAAAGCATATCCCTTTCATAATTAGTTACAAATCTTTGTTTCCAGCTTCGCATTTCACATATGTCTCTCAACTTAAGTGGAGAAAATGTGTTTAGTTTGTTTGTTTGCTGTTTAACACCATCCACAGCAATATTCCAGCTATATATTTATGTCTGCAAATAATCGAATCTGGACCAGACAATCCAGTGATCAACAGCATGGGCATTGATCTATACAATCAGGATATGATGACATGTGTCAACCAATTCAGCGAGCCTGACCACCCGATCCCGTTAGTCGCCTCTTACGACAAGCATGGGTTACTGGAGACCAATTCTTACCTGGATCTTCAAGGGTACAAAACTCTGATGAAAGAAGCAGAAGGCTACTATTGGCTTGAAAACTACTAATGGCAATTAAACCACGAAACAAACTGAAACAACCAGATGATATTTCATCTGTCCTTCACTTAATTCAGTTAAGTTTCCCTTTGCCACTTTTATGACATGGAAAGGCCAAGATACTACTCCACTAGTTACCGAAATCACACATATCCTTTACACATCTGCTAAACCCAAGACGCAAAAGAGTTACTAATACCACAAAAAAAAGTCCGGAAACATTGTCTCCTGTGTATAAACAATAGAGAAAAATTCCATAAAAGTATGCCCCATCCTCTGTCACCATGAATCAAAAGCAAGCAGTTATATGATCGGCAGAGTAAATATACACCTTCCTATGCACAAACACTCCGTCAAACTTTCTGTGCAACTTGTCTGTACACAAGACGGGATACAGACCCTTCGTTGAAATAAATACCTGGATTTAATTAGAGGGCTGCAGAATTCACTTGAAGGAGCTGCAGCCTCGAAGGGCTGATGTTCTGTAGATCGAGTTTAATAGGCTGCATTATGTGGAAGCTCATCCCAGAGTTTATTGATTGTCTTGTCAGCAGTTTTAGTTTGACGGTGTTAGGGACAGAAATAGAACCTTAATATCTGCGAATGTCTGTGTTATATTTAGAAAATGGATCTAGAAATTGGTATGAATGAAGTTTGAAGCTGTTGGGTAGTCTTCAGACAAATAGGATTGCTGCACGCAAAACTAATTCAGGACAAAGATTGTTTCATTTACATTTTATAAAGTGTAAATGTTCTCTTACGAAGAACAGCAAGATCATGCAAAACAATTTCAAATCTAATAAATTCAATTTTATCATGTTTATATTTTTTCTCCCTGTACCTCCTGAACAAAATTTAAATATTTAGTCAAACATAATCTTGTTTGTTTGTTTGTTTTGTTTGTTGTTCAGTGCTGCACTCAGCTCAATATGGCAGCAGCTTGAAAATAATTAAGTCTGGACCAGAAAAAAATGTGACTAGTATTATGAATAAAAGTGATTGAGTGAGTTTAGTTTTACATTGCTTTATCAATATTCCAGCAATATCACGGTGGAGGACACCAGAAATGGGCTTCACACATTGTATGCATGTGGGGTATCGAACCAGGATCTTTGGCGTGACAAGCGAACACTTTAACCACTAGGCTACCCCACCGGCCCGCATGAATAACATTCATGCATCTCTGTACTGGGACAGGCGATGAACCAAGACACCTTGCATGACACCTTATGAACCAAGACACCCAGCATGTCACTCTATAAACCAAGACACCCAAAATGACACCCCAAATGGCACCATATGTACCAAAACACCCATCTTGACACCCTTTGAACCAAGACACCCAAAATGACACCCTATGAACCAAGACACCCAAAATGACACCCTATTGACAAGACACCAGAAATGACATCCTATGAACCAAAACACCCAACATGACACCCTCTGAACCAAGACACCCAGCATGTCACCCCATGAACAGACACTCAGCATGACACCCTATGAACAAAGACACCCAGCACAACACCCTATGAAACAAGACACCCAGCATGACACCCTATGAAACAAGACATCCAGTCGAACTATGAACCAAGACACCCAGCATGACACCCTATGAACTAAGACACCCAGTCAGACAACCTATGAACCAATACATCCAGCATGACACATTATGAAACAAGACACCCAATCTAACCCTATGAACCAAGACACCCAGCATGACACCCAATGAATCAAGACACCCAGCATGACACCCTATCCATTATGTTCCTCTTAGGTTGCTGGGGACCATTTCTAACCAACCATCCCCACACAGCTGTGTTGCTTTAAGACAAGAGCACCTGCTCAATATCCAATAAATTTGCATCTTACAACTAATCTCCTATAAACTGCTCCGGACACAAGGAGCAAAGGGCAAAGCTTTTATATCATGCTATAAAAGCCATCCTGGAGGTTAAGCCTCACAGCCTGACATGGGCTCAGATAGATGCAGGATTAATCAGCATGCAATGCAAGGCGAATACAAGCTTACAATATCAGAAAATCCATATGTCTTCCCAAGGGAGATAACTCTCTGAACCAAAGCATGAGTTTGATGTGTGATGAATTTGAGAAGATTATATATTTGGTAAAACATTGTCAATATTTGGAAATTTGTAAAACATATATTTGATATTTGATGAAAAACCCATATCAACAAAACATTGTTAGTGTTAATAATAATGGTATCCAAGAGTTATCTCCCTTTCAAAAGACATTTCACACACCATGCAGTATTCAGTGAGGTAGTGGTGATTATTGCTGCATCAGCATTCTTGCAGCTATTCACAGCAAGGTATGTTGAAAGTCCCAGATATGTCCAAGGCTAATAACAGTGATGTGAAAACACCATGCATTTATAATTTGTCAAGATTTGACTTTCGTATACAGAAATACAGTACACAATCCACTGGCCTTGTGTCCAGCATGAGTGAGGCATCATGCAGCTTTGGCAATATGCCAGCATTTTTACAGAAAGAGTAAATGTAACTTAAATAAAACTTGAAACTTCTGCCATGTTTTACACATTGAAACATATGGGTCCACTCAAACTAAAAAGAACTGAAATGTGAAAAACACAGAATAAGAATGGCAGTGTGTTTTTATATTTTCCTGACCATCAAAACATATGTGCTTCACCATTAAAAAGTAGAACATAAAAAAACAAACTTAAAATACCATATTTAATACCTGTTGTAATTGTATCTTAAAAACTATGAAACAAAACAAGTAATGAAAACTTCCTGTTCATCGAACCCCTACCTATTTTCTCCCTAACAACATCTGGCACAAATTAAACAAAATGTTTCAAATTGGAACATTTTCATTTACATAATTTCAACCTCAACAAAAAGTCTCTGAAAAGAAACTGAACTCAGTTTTTCAGTATGTGAAAGTGCTTTGACCACTTGGCTGCCCAGTACCCATCACCCTGTGACAAGAAGTAAAAGGTTCCAATACTCACGCTTCTGAGGGGCGGCCGTGACCTTATAAAATCCAGTATTACCGCATGAGCATCATTCTTCACTTTAGGGGGAATGTTACCATTGACCTGAGGTGGGTGGACAGACAGACAGACATGTCAGAGAGCATGGCAGCATGGCAACAGGGTCAAGGCATGACAGACATGGGTAAATCACATGACAGATCAACTCACAACTTAACAACTGTAAAATGTTTTAAAGACGGAAACAAAAACCAGATATAAAAAAAAGAAATAGAAACAATATGTTCATTACAAAACTGCACTTCTCAATTTTTGATAGGGCTATCACAATTCATTGATAAAACGTTAAATTGATGATTATAATTCAGCCATTAGCCCAGAAAGGCTTCCTTAGCTGTCCAAAAAAGACCTCTGTGGCTTTATTGCCAAATATAACCCTTTAGACATAAAATAATTATTTCAAATGGTACTCTTATAAAACGTTAAATTGATGATTTATAATTCAGCCATTATGGCCCAGAAAGGCTTCACTCTCTCTTTCAAAATAAGACCACCATGGCTTTTTCTTACTTTCATTGCCAAATATATCCCTTTAGACATAAAATAATTATTTCAAATGGTACTCTGGGGTCTGAGCTCTTCAATAAGAACAACGGCAGAATTGGATGCCTTGCATTAGCTTTGATCAAGCAGGATAATCATGATGGCTGGTTTTACATCAAAATGCCACCAACTTAGCTAGACTTTCTAGGTTTAAAAGAAGCCTTCAGAATCGATCTAGCCAAGAACAGAGTATGCACTATTGTCTGGAGTTGAGTCCTGTCAAAATGGATTTATCCAGGAGAATGATGAGGGGTTATTTTTGGTCGTAATGGTCTCAAAACTGAACTGCATTCACAAAGATCGTGATCATTGATTTCCATGCAAACAATTAATGGGTGTAACAACCATCTGAAAAGGTGCAAATAATTTAAGTTCAAAAGTAAAATAAGAAAGAGGTAGATTGATGCAAAACAAAGAAAAGTTTCTTAAAGTTGAATTAATGAATTAGTTGATGAGAACTTGCAAGAACCTTTCTCATGCAGTAAACAGGAAGACACGTCACTCAGTGAGAACTATGGAACTTAAAAACTTAACACATGATTAAATCAATCTTGCAAAATAAAAATAAAGAGGAACAGACAACAGGATGGGAAATTACACATGAAACTGAATGTAAAAACCACAAATTATTTATATTTTAGAATGATTCTGTTAATTTGCAATTTAAAAGAATTTTTCTTAAATATAATTGAATGAACAATGCTCATTGTTTTGATTTCCATAACATTGTGTTTATTCAAGCCTCTACTCACCGATATTTTGTTGAGATTGTATCGCCGAGATCGGATGTCTTCCAAAAGAATCTCAAAAGGCGTGAGCTCGAACTCATCCTGTGGTAACACAACATGTTCCACTTTCTTTAACCGAACTCCATTACGGAGCTGTCGCATGATCTGCACCCACAGACGAGCCTGGAACACAATGAAGGGGATATGTCAAGAGTGAACCAATCAACAGAATGTGTAGCAATGTCATACAATTGTGCAAAGAGGAATAGTAACCATATGCTTCAAGTTGAATTGAAAGCCCCTTGTATCAATGGTGAATAGTGTCCTAGAAGTACCGCTCCCTGTGTCATGGATTCCTGGGTATCTAGCTATGGTGTCATGGTGTCATATGTATCTAGCTATTTGTGGCATATGTGTCTAGCTATTGGTGTCATGGTGTCATACGTGTCTAGCTATTGGTGTCATGGTGTCATATGTGTGCCTAGCTATTGGTGTCATATGTATCTAGCTATTGGTGGCATGGTGTCATGTGTCTAGCTATTGGTGGCATGGTGTCACGTGTGTCTAGCTATTGGTGGCATGGTGTTATATGTATCTAGCTATTGGTGGCATGGTGTCATATGTGTCTAGCTATTGGTGTCATGGTGTCATGTGTCTAGCTATTGGTGGCATGGTGTCATGTGTGCCTAGCTATTTGTGGCATGGTGTCATATGTGTCTAGCTATTGGTGGCATTGTGTCATGTGTGTCTAGCTATTGGTGGCATGGTGTCATGTGTGTCTAGCTATTGGTGGCATGGTGGCATATGTGCCTAGATATTGGTGGCTGGTGTCATATGTGTCTAGCTATTGGTGGCATGGTGGCATATGTGTCTAGCTATTGGTGGCATATGTGCCTAGCTATTGGTGGCATATGTGCCTAGCTATTGGTGGCATTGTGTCATATGTGTCTAGCTATTGGTGGCCTGGTGTCATATGTGCCTAGCTATTGGTGGCATATGTGCCTAGCTATTGGTGGCATTGTGTCAGATGTGTCTAGCTATTGGTGGCATGGTGTCATATGTGCCTAGCTATTGATCGCATATGTGTCTAGCTATTGGTGGCATGGTGGCATATGTGTCTAGCTATTGGTGGCATATGTGCCTAGATATTGGTGGCTGGTGTCATATGTGTCTAGCTATTGGTGGCATGGTGGCATATGTGTCTAGCTATTGGTGGCATGGTGTCATATGTGCCTAGCTATTGGTGGCATGGTGTCATATGTGTCTAGCTATTGGTGGCATGGTGTCATGTGTGCCTAGCTATTGGTGGCATTGTGTCATGTGCCTAGCTATTGGTGGCATTGTGTCTAGCTATTGGTGGCATGGTGTCATGTGTGCCCAGCTATTGGTTGCATAGTGTCATATGTGCCTAGCTATCGGTGGCATGGTGTCATAGGTAATAAGCTATGAATGGTATGGTGTAGCCTTGCTCCAAGGCTGTACTGAATGCTGAGACCATGGATGTATAGTAATTCTATCCTTCGAAGAGGCAAGTCTAGATAAGCGGACAGTACCCCAGTCTGTTATTTATTAGTTTTAGAAATTAACATTTAAACTATTAATTTTTACCTTAGATACTTGTGCAAGTCTAGGTATGGTACTGAAGGTAGTTATTTCCTTGAAACCCAGGTGTATTGATGGCATGGCGTCAAAAGTGTTTCACTTTCGTTTTCATTGCTGTCTCAGATTTTTAAGAGTTGTTAATAGGTGTCTGCCCAATGATATTATTGTGTCTTGTGTATTGAGTTATCGATGATATGCTGTCCTGTGTATAGCTACATGTAGCACTGACACATAGGTGTCTAATGACTGGTGTCACGTTTCATACACACTTATCTACTTGGTGGCATTGTGTCTTGGTGTTAGGTGTCTTACTGTTTGGTGAATGAATGAGTTTGGTTTTACGCCGCTTTTAGCAATATTCCAGCAATATCACGGCGGGGGGCACTAGAAATGGGCTTCACACACTGTACGCATGTGGGGAATACAACCCAGGTCTTCGGCGTGACGAGAGGATGCTTTAACCACTAGGCTACCCCACCGCCTCTTACAGTTTGGTAACATGGTGTCCTGCGTATATAGCTATTGACAATATCGTGTTTTTAGGAATTTAAGCCATTCCAATCTTAGTGTCAATAACAGGTGGTATGGTTTTGGGGTGTCTAACTATTGTTACATGTCCAGGTGTCTAGCTAGATGTAGCATGGTGTCGATAAGGTCAAGAAAGGTATTGAAGCAGGGTTTCCCATTGCTGAAGACACGGTGTCAAAGTTGGAATCTCCTCACTGACATGTTGGATTACAGGAGTGAAACTATTAACCTCACATTGAAATAATGTATTGATTCTGCAAGGAAGTAATGAACCAGTCAGCAATAGCCTCCCTGAGGGGCTGATGAGGCATTGGATCATAATGGTGACCATGACAACAGACAACAGCACTCACCCAATCAGATCTCTGCAGTTCGTCAACAGTGTCAACATCAGGGGCCCCCTTCTTCTTCGCAAGGTTCTGTAAACAGGATATTCATTACTACATGTAACACAACAAAATGTTTCAAATGTCTTTCAAAGTGTTTCAAATGTCTTCATAAAATTAATATTTCAATCACATGCCAGAAGTGAGTATGTAATCATGGGGTGGGAAGTTTTGGGTTGTGTAGGGTGGGGTTGGGATGAGTGTTCTAGAAAACTGTTTTGTAGGGTAGGGTCAATTAGGTTTTGTCGGGTGGGGTGGGTTAGGGTGCAGTAGAGTGGAGGCAGGGCACGTCAGAGCGCAGTAGGACAGAACAGTGCAGATTAGCCTCGACAGAAGTGAGGGAAGAAGTGGGGTTATTGCAATGAGTGGGCTTAGATAAGGTAGAGAGGGATAGTGAGCTTACAAAATTAGGGGGAGAGGTGTTTAAGGTCAATATTGGTACAGTTGGTTTTTTCACAAATAACACAAAATCTGCTTTCTGTGCTAAAAACTTTTGAGTCTACTAGCTTGAACTTGGCTCTGCATCATTTATTTGCACTTTTTGGTGCTATCATATACATTTTTAAAAGCTGAGCTTACTAGACTGAACACAATGTTACTAGACTTGGTCTTCAGACTGATACCGCTTCCAATTGTAAACAACTGCAGAACATAAGGAATGTGAACTCTGATGTGACATGAAACGTGTGAAACCAGCAGTCTTTGTCTTTTCGCAGAGATCTGTTTAAATTCTGCACTCATCACTTCTGTTTCACTCACATAAAAAAGTCTTGACACAAATAATATCCGCAAGACATATCATTGACAAGTTCTGTTTGAATAACAAGGAAATTCAACTCGAACACACGAGGTTGATTTCCTAAACAAATGAAGAGACAATTTCAGTCATCTCTTCGGAGCCAAATTAATAACAAATATTCAACAACAAGTTAATGTCTGTAAACATAATCGTACTCAGCGGCCAAACAATCACACTGCCTGAACCCTTGCGTTACGACAAACTTCGACGAATAATTCCCCAAGTGGAAACACATATATCTCCGCCTTGCTTCAAGTTTATAAGCAGGGATTAACAGACTTCAGAAACAATGCAGCCCGTTCAAGCAATGTTTCATCAATTGTCACATCACTACGCGAGTTAAGGTTTGTGTAAGCTCCATCAGCAGCCAAGAGAATGTCTCCTCCAAGTTGAGAAGAGTGCCAACATTGCGGTAATGGCCTAAATGTTTCAAAGTGTCTCAGAGGACGTTTTTTCACGTACACTAACACAGCATGTGTTGGATGAGAGGTAAATGATTTGAGGAAGAATTTTAACTGTTTCAGATGACTACAGGAGTCCTAGCATCAATGTCTCTCCTGGCACAAGGAAATTTGATAGTGCTCAGGAAATTTGTTATGTTGTAATTTTTCCATGAATTCTTTTCAACTAATTTCAGTCATGTAGATTATGTAATAAATAAATTAAGTATACATAAACTTGAAATAAAATGCACAGAAAATTATTTTTTATATTTATTTCTATCTATTTAAAAAATAACATTTAGCAAGAGGGTTTAATTTTGTAAAATCTGGATCCTCATAAAAGATTATGAGACAGTATACTGTGCATACACTCAGACTTAAAGAATAGTGCTACTACAAGTACGCAAACAATGGCTTCTGGTCCATATAGAAGATTTTATTCAAGCTTCAGAGACCTACCGGTAAGTTTTTACAGTATTTGATTTAAGTCCATACAGGATACAATGCTTTGAGCCGTCAGATAAATAGAGAATACTACACTCGGTCTCATTACATACGAATTATACGAAATGAGTGTCCTTCCTATGGTATCTGACCGAGCCAAACGAATTATACGAAACGAGTGTCCTTCCTATGGTACGCTTTCGCTCAGTCAGATAACATAGGAAGGTCACGAGTTTCGTATAATTCGTATGTAATGAGACCGAGTGTGGTATTTTATTTATTACCCACGTCTTACATGCATTAAATTGACAAAATAGCGTATTTTTGTTAATATTTTGGTTTCAAACCGAAACCGGTTTCATAAAGAGGTTGCGGAAGAGGAAGAATGAATGAATTCACATGTTTGTTATGAATGAAAAAATAGTTATGTCAGAATGTGACCTAATTGAGAGGTCATCGGTTATCCAATCAAATCGTTAGAATCTCAGGTCAAGTCATTAAGACACAGGTCAACGCGATACGACACTCGTGTGACGTACGAGATTAGTATGCAACTACCCATACGGTGACCACGTGGGTAATAAATATTTATACTACTGAAACACAACAGTACATAGCTTTTCTCCTTAACATTTAAAGCCAAAACATACAATTGTTTTCATCTAATTATAAATTTTATAAGTGGTCTCAGTTAAACTGGGGCGGTGGGGTAGCTTTGTGGTTTAAGCATTCGCTCCTTATGCCAAAGGCCAGGGTTTGTTTCCGCACATGGGTACATTGTGTGAAGCCCATTTCTGGTGTCCCCCACCGTGATATTGCTGGAATATTGCTAAAAGTGGCGTAAGACCCAACTCACACACTCTGGGGCCTTTGAAATTTATTTTGACCTTTGTGGTTTAGTGGGTGGAGTGTCTGCCCACAGTGTGGTAGGTCTGTGGTTTGATTCCCATCCACATATTTCCTAAAGACATCAAAGTCTATTAAAATATGATTTCCTTTTTGAAGAGAAACAAATTAATCTGCCTGAAAACTCCAATAAAAACTAAATAATATAAATAATGTACGTTTCTATAAATAACACAGATAAACAGGTCAAATAATTACAAGATAAGGTAATGTTTTACAGAAAATACAAGAAGTACAAGTAACATTTTACTGAGCAGTCCCAGGAAATATATTATGTCTCATATAAATATTTCTAAAAAAAATGTGACATTTCAGCCTAGTCCCTAAATTTCATCAATTTTATTGAAAGCTAGCTTCAAAACAACACATTTTCTATAAGAATTGTGTTGTTTGACATGTACGTCTCCCACAGAAGCTACAAATCACAGACAAAGTAGACAGAACATTGTTTTCTTTGAATATTCTGGGCAGCATGGTGAACTGAGAACATCTAAAATACTTTCTGGCCTGAAATAATCCCTAGAAACAAATAATCACATTTTGAACTCCCTAGAAGTTGTGTTTAGCTTAGTTTTGACACGAGAGTGGATACGTTTACAATGAAGCCAGTGAGACATTTGCTTATTGAGATGTTTCTTTGAAGAAACGTTCCACAAGTAAAGCTAACTACCGGTAGTCCACAAGACAAATCTTGCTGATCCGAACCAGACTTGTCACAAGGGTTGGTTGGTTGGTTGGTTAGTTTGTTGTTTAACGCCACACTCAACTATATTCCAGCTATATGGTGGTGGTCTGTAAATAATCCAGTCTGGACCAGACAATCCAGTGATCAACATCATCAGCATTGTTCTACGTAATTGGGAACCGATGACATGTGTCAACCAAGTCGGCGAGCCTGACCACCCAATCCCCATAGTCACCTCTTACGACAAGCATGGGTTACTGAAGACCAATTCTAACCCAAGTCTTCACGGGTCTTGTCACCAGGAAGATTCCATTTCTGACCAATACAGCACCAGTTAGTTTCTGTTTCATATGAGAGCTTGTCGGCATATTTGATTTCTTATTGCAACACAGTATTTGTACATGTTTAAAGAAAATGGATTGTTAAAAGAAATTCATGATTTCCTAAAACAAGGAACATGCACTTTGAGGAATTTCAAGGTTGGTTGTTTTAATCAATGAAATACATTTGAAACATCTTCAGCAGTTTGACTGCAGGGATTTATCTATGATTCGATAATAAGTGCCTTTGGTTGGCAAGCTGGAAAAAACATCAGGATGCTGTCCAAAATTGGATTTCTTTTTTCAGTTTCACAAATTGTCAGAAATTGAGAAATGTTTAATATATCAAAATACATGAACTATATTTGCTGCAGGCTTAGGTCCAAATATCAACTTCTGAGCAGGTCCAGAAAAATCCTGGCATTCTGTGAGTTTAAGAGTAAACAGGAATAACATTGTCTGCTTTCTTCGTCACAACATCTGTCCTGACAGTTAGCCTTGTATATCCCTGGATCTACATTCAACTTGAACTCTTAAGCTTGAAACATGTTTGTGCTGGGACTGTATGTCACCAATAACTTTCTTATTGTTTGAAAACATTTTGGCTTGAGTAAAACATACATTGATCAACACAGTCAATGTGTATCAAATCTACATGAAGCATTCATATAATCCTTCACATTCCATCAAATATCTCCCATAATGGAATTTAAAATTTAAAATGACACAAATACATTTTCGTGAAATTAACACAGAATATCTGTTTATAGGTATATATTCAAGCATGAACAACAAACCTACACACTTGAAAACAATTCAAAGGGGCAACAAAATGTGAAAATTGATTTCTTAATAATTCTTTGTCACTTTCTCGTAGCATATGAAATATGGAAATAATACCGTATTAAAATGACAATACCTTCTGATCTGATGATATTTTATCTAGGAATGTGATGAGCTCTTGGGCCTCTGTCACCACTGCACGACAGACAGCCTTGTAATGATGGTGTGGGTCTTGCCAGGAAGATAAGTGACGAATGCAACACTGAAACAAACAAAATACACATTTAGAGACTTTCTAAAGTATCGATATTCTCTCTTACCTATTATAGATAACAGACAAGGATTCAAGCTTACATTGTATGTTCCAAAACAAATAGGTATTCTGAAACTAACTATAAGTTGTTTCACTAGAGTTATCTCCCCTGGTCCATTCAATCACAGTATTTAGCATTAAAGTATTAATTTTGTGCTTATAATATTATTCTCTTTTAGAGAAAAGTCTTTCAAGATTGTTATGTTTAGTCACAAATATGTCTGCAAAGTGACATTAGCCTTGTTTCCCCTGTAATTGGTTTGAATGTATGTTCATATCTACTTGTGAAAAATTGTGAGGTGTCTTGCTTATAAAAGGAATGAATCTCTCTGACATATCCTGAAATACATCTAAGAATAAACTGAAACCTGGCAGGGTTTGTTTGTTTTTTTTTTAACGCTGTACTCAGCAATATTCAAGTTATAAGGTTGGTCTGTAATAATCGAATCTGGACCAGACAATCCAGTGATCAACAGTATGAGCATCGATCATTGCAACTGGGATATGATGACATGTGTCAACCAAGTCAGAGAGCAAGACCACCCGATCTCCTTATATGCCTCTTATGAGGCATGGATGGCTGAAGACCAATTCAAACCCGATCTACACTGGTTCCAAAACTGGCAGTGAATAAGGACCTTCATTTTTGCATGCTGAATAATCAGTTAGGGTACACATCTCATTTTTCATAACAAAGATTCATCAGTCAAAAAAACATATTTTCAAACTTTACACAGTTCATCATTCTGGTCAATTTCCCTTGGTTTAAATAAACAATCTTCACATGACCAGGTCAATTAAAGACACCATCAATGATGACCGCTTCAATTTGAAGATGTTCACAATCTTGACATGCCATTGAAATAATTTTCCCTGCTACAAATATCCCACAATGGCGAGTAAATGCAATCTTTACTGTCAAACATTGTGAGCAAACATGGGTCATAACGGCTGAGTGGTTACGGTTGACAAACATAGGCCCACATCTGTACCCACAGAGACGAGACGGAAGAGTTACTTGCAAAACAGTTGACACGTCAACAACCTCACCCTCAACTACCATGCAGTGGAAAACAATATTAATCATGTTACCTAGATAAAGGTAACATTAAATTCTGCCATTCTTAAAAGAACAAGTTCTATTGAACATGTAATTATCCTAAAAGGTGATTTTAAGACTGTCACTGTTACTTTCAAATTCTTTCAAATTGGTATTTTTTCTCATAAGTCTAATGGATGCCTGTCAAAAGTTAGAAATATTTCTCACAAACATTATTCTTTTGATGCATTAAGTTGACAAAGTTTCAAAAGATTTATTGTCAGATTGAAATAGCTGCTGCCAATATTATATAGACTTATCCCCATATGGGAGATCCAGATAAAATTTAGACAAATCTGGCTTAAAAATTACAATAAATCATTTTTTCAAAAGCTCCAATTGACAGTGCCTGTCCATACAAGACTGACAGCTGTTGATGCAATACGACTTTGTTTAATCAATGCGTTTTCGTTGGAAGGTCATACACCTGTCAACACTGTGATGGTTGAGTGAGTATGGTGTTTGTGGGGTATGATTTTCTACCTTGAACAGCATTTCATTTATTTCCATTCTTGCCACCTCAATATGGAAGGAAGTCTTCTCCAAGATTTCACCTCAGCCAACCCAAGTTTCGTTCAAACTTGGCCATTTATTTTTGTACCCTCTAATGCCTGTTTTCGATGACTGTTTGACGACAAACATGATCTGTTTGCTTGTTTGTTTGTTTTCAATGCTGCATTCAGCACTATTCCTGCAATATGATGACTGCCTCTAAAAAATCAAGACAAGACAATCCAGTGATTGATATCATCAGCAACAAACCGCACCGTCAAGGAATTATGCCATCACTGAGCCCAACCACCTGATCCATTTAGTTCTTTCTTTCTACCTTGCTAGATTCCTCAGTACCAGTTCTAATACAGAAGGGGCGGTGGGGTAGCCTAATCTTTAAAGCATTGGCTCATCATGCCAAAGACCCAGGTTCGAATCCCCACATGGGTACAATGTGTGAAGCCCATTTCTGGTGTCCCCCACCATGATGTTGCTGGAATATTGCTAAAAGCAGCATAAAACCAAACTCAGTCAGTCAGTCTAATACAGAATCCAGGAAACTGATTAACCAGCAGCTCTATACAGATAGCAAGGTATGAAACAAACTGGCATATCATCCACAGCATAAACAAGATAATCTGAATGACATGTCACTAAAATTTCAATATTTCCAAACAATTCATTTCAACACACATTTTAGATGATAAATACATTATCCATTGGCTCAAGACATCAACAGACCAACAAGTACAGAAACTTGATGGCAGTATGGCCTATATCATCCTATACACCTACTTATGCATTCCGTTATTTCAAAAAGGTATTTTATGCACAAACCTGGCAACATATTGCTGACCTATTTGATGCCAGCAAAATAAATATTGTCTGGATGGAAATAAACACACCTGAACATAACTAGCATAAATATATCCAAGTCCTGATGGAGATTGGGAGTACCGTTGTCACGGTAACTCATGCATACCCAACAAGTCAGGTGAGCCAATTACATAACATACCTGGCATAAAGTTAACAGTGGCAGGATGATGCCATGTGACACATGATTTGTTTCAATGTACTGCGTAGTTCACCAGTTACATGAAGCTCAGGGACCTGTACCACAAAGCAGTCTTAGTGCTACGATTATCGTAACTCCCATACTTTAACACAGAGTTGCGGTAATCATAGCACTACTATCACTTTGTGAAATGGGGCCAGGTAGTGCTACGATTAGCGTAACTCCCATACTTTAACACAGAGTTGCAGTTATCATAGCACTACGATCACTTTGTCAAATGGGATCAGGTGGCGTGAGTGAGTGAGTTTTAGTTTTACGCCGTTTTTAGCAATATCGCGGGGGGGGGAGAGAGACACCAAAACTGGGCTTCACACATTGTACCCATTTCGGGAATCTAACCCAGGTCTTCGGCATGAGATGAGCGAACACTTTAACCACTTGGCTACCCCACTGCCCCTTAGGCCTGCGGGAACTACAAGTCTTCAGCATCCTATGCACGTCATAAGGGGCAACTGTGGATTGGGTGGTCAGGTGACTTTGTTGATTGCATATGTTTTGATATATGCTTGTGATGTCAATCATTGTCATGACTCCATTATAAGTTGAATTTTGTGCTTCTTAATCAAAAGCTTGTTGTCAGCTCCATAACATCTGCATGGATTATTTGTTGATTATCTACAGCAGAGAGTCATTTTCAGAACCCAACCACTAGGTCTGGACGTGATGAGCACTTCAACCACTGGGCTACCCCACCTGCCATTTAACCTAATACTTGATCACTCATACACTAGTGAGTGAATTTGGTTTTATGCCGCTTTTAGCAATATTCCAGCAATATCAAGGTGGGGAACACCCGAAATGGGCTTCACACATTGTACCCATTTTGGGAATCAAACCAGGATCTTCAGCGTGATAAGCGAAAGCTTTAACCACTGGGTTACCCCACCGCCCGCTTATGAATAAACAGTCACACATCTCTGTACAGGGACAGGCGATGAACCAAGACACCCAGCTTGGCACCCTATGAACCACTAAATTATCATGTAACATTAAGCTTTGTAAATGAGCCAGCTTAATTTTTGTTTGTATTGCTTTTACTTTTCAGCTGAATGATTGCATCATAGAAACTAGTGGTTGATGTAACGAGCAACGCTCCTTCAGCAGACAATTGAACAAAGATACCAGCTGCCTACCCATCAATGTTGGTCATCGTTTAGAACCTTAAAAGATCACTGAGGACATCATCTATCCCAGAGAACTTTCCAGCAGAACGAGAACCACTGCAGTACACACTGCTTATCATTTACATATCTCAAAGCACTAATTAGTGTATATAATTACAGTGAGCACTTGCCTGCATCAGATTGCATCATAATTATGATGGTGAGTCAGATACAAAATGTCACATGGTGTTTGTACTCCACAAGAGTACAATTGTATTAGATAAAGTGAGTCAGTGAGTTTAGTTTTACGCCGCTTTAGGCCAGACCAATTTCATTTCTTGTTCTACAGATCCGCCGGTCATAATTTTTCAAGAATAAGACAAAAAATACAAATTAATTTTCTACGCTCAAAAAATAAAATCCTCATGTTTTTATTGGCAAAAATGTAAACTTACAACAAAAAATTATTGTTTTTTTGCCCCATATAAACTTCATAAATTGCCAAAAATGTAAGACTATTAGTACTTAAAAGGAAATTTATTTTGACTAGTGATTTTTTTTTTAACCCCCTCCTGCCTTTAGGTTTCCTGAGGTCAAAAATCTGTAAAACAAGAAATAAAATTGGTCTGGCCTTAGCAATATTCATTCAATATCACGGCGGGTGACACCAGAAATGGACTTGACACATTGTACCCATGTGGGGAATCGAACCCGGTGTGACAAGAGAACGCTCTAACCACCAGGCTACCCTACTCTGCGTATTTGTTAAAGGGCAGAGAAGCTGAGTGGTTTAAGTGTTTGTCATGTGTTTGATTCCCAAAAGGTACACTTAAACCACTGGGCTATGAAGCAAACCACTAAAATATTGGGTGCATGAAACCATCCCCTCTTTAATGCTGTTAGTGAATAAGAATTTGGTCATTTATACATTTCTGTTGCTGCAGTTGATATAATTTGTGTGTCCTGATACCAAGCAACATAATGAGGGCCTGTGATCTGGTTGATAGCACGTCTTCGACGGGCACACAGCAATTTAACAAATGATTTTTTTCCATTTCTCACATCTTTTCAAAAGATTATCATTGTAATCTAATTTAAATTCAGGTCACAACCTTGGAGATTCAGTGACATGTAGCGTGGGAAACATGGGAAAGGAGGAAGTAGAGAAAAGTATGAGAGGTT